CCCAGCCCTACCCAGATGTGGGTCAGAGCAGATGCCCTGCCTTTGAGTGTCCCAGACAAGACCCTGTCCCCAAGTACCCCAGCCTCTCTCCCACCCTTACACATAGCCCACTGCCCACAAGAAGACAGGGTCTGTAAGCTGGCTGGCTACTGGCTGCAGGGTGGGCTCACCCTCCGAGGTCCTGAGCTGGCTTCCTACCTCACCTCTCCTCTGCAGTTGTCCGCATACCCTGCTGCAGGTCAGGGACCAGGCGTTCATTGACTGCACTCCCTCTGCCAGGGTCCCGGTGCAGCCTCCTCCGCATTCAAATGAAGTCCCAAGGCCTGGTGATCTGGCTGGATTACTGCATAATCCTACCACCCAGGGCTCCTGGTGGCTCTAAATGAGGGATGATGATGTCTCCTGACCTTGGGGCCATGGTGCAGGAGGAATACTGATTCCTTATACTCTCTCCCCAAAGTGCCCGGACTCTGCTCTCTCCAGCAAGCAGAGGACACAGCATCTGGCCACCTGGAGTGCTCCTGACAGGCAGCACCAGCTGCAGGGCTGGACCGCACAGGGCTTCTCTTGGAACCAGCCAAGCCTAGATTTGAATCTCAGCCTTGTCCATTCCTTGCTGTGTGATCTTGGGCAAGATGTCTTGCCTCTCTGAGCCTGTTTTCTAAGTGTCCAGCCCGGAGACTGGCACATCTGTGTGCTCAGCAAACATTGCTGCCTTTCTGAGGTCTGGGGAGGCACCAGGGGCCTAGGTCCCAGAGGAGAGCCACCCAGATGGAAAAAGCACTCGGCTCACTCCACTTCTTTCCGGTGGCCAGTCTGGCAGAACAGGCATGGCCACCACTCCCCAGGGCACAAACTGGGTGGAGATGGGGCTGAGAGGAGGTGTTCTGGAGCCCTGGCTCCTTCTGAACTCTCCCGGCCCAACCTTCCCAACCCCAGCAGGCAGGCTTGTGGGCTACACTTAGAGCCTGGGCTGCCCAAGGGAGGCTCCTGTCCAGCCTCCACCAGCTGCACCACCTGTATTTGACCCCTGTCCAAGAACCTGAGTCAGTGGGAAGGCCAGAGACCTCGCCCAGCCCAGTGAATACACTGGCAGGTAGAAGCCCCAGCCCAGGCCTGAGTCCCCGAAAGCCAACCTTGCTGTCTGAATTGACAACAGGGAAGAGCCCACCCCTTGGGAGCAGACTGTACAAGCTCCATTTCAAAGACAAGGCCACTGAGGTTCCAAATGGGCCATGTGTGCATAAGGTCTCAGATTCGGAAGCACAGGCCAAGCCATCTGGGGGAGCTGGGGCTGGGGGAGCATCAGCAGAAGGGGTGAAGGCAATGGGTATGGGGGAGCAGGAGTGAGGCTTTGCCTTCTCCTCTCCCTTCTCACAGGGAACCGGGAAGCCTTGGGCAGCCGCGGGGTGACTGAAACACCATAGTAGGTGGTGAGGCTCCTCAGGCTGAGGCTCCCTGAGACCCAGGCTCCACCCCAGGTTCTGGGAGGCTGAGAATGAGGTCCCAGCCCCTCTAATAGATTTCTCTTTGATCGCGTTTTTGTGACCTTTGTACAAAGCAATTTAAATTCTAATTGTCCTGCCAGTACCAAAGGAATCAATTAGAGACAAGAGCAGCTAATTGTGTGGGGGGAGGCCATGGGGGCAGGAGGGATGGGGAGATACAGGCGCCCACACCCCAGCTGGTGCCTGCTTGGCAGCCTCCAGCCTGCTCTGCTCCCCAGTTGGAGGGTGGAGTTGGTCGGGGTCATCGGTGCCTCATGGTAGATAGATGTGGAGCTTCTGGGGCCAGCTGCAGGCCACCGCTGGGTGGGGTCCTGCTCTGGGACACAGATGGGACACATGCAAGCCGGGACACACACACAGCACGGAGCTCTCTGCACAAGGAAACCCATCACAGTGGGGCCTTGTGGGACTCAAATACAGGGTGGTCCCTTGGTTCCTGGGCCCCTGGCTCAGGCACACTGCTGTCCACACCATTCCCTAGCAAGGAGGAGCCACCAATCAACTCACTCCGAGCCTCTACCACGTCTCTAAGATGCAGACGGTAATTGTCGTGTTATAAAGCATCCTCTTGGAAGGATAAAATGACACAGTGTATGTAAAGTTCCATAACAGAGCTGGTACACTGTGAGTGCTCAATAAATGTTATTTGCTACAAACACCCATCCCAGCCATCTCACCTGCTTGCCTCTCCGCAGAATGTGCCCAAATGTGTCACTCGTGCCTGGCAGAGTAGACCCCATTGTCACTGAACCCTCCTGGCTCCCACGACCTGAATGCAGGCCTCCCTGAAGGATTGCCATCTTCTCTCAGGGTCAGCCAGGAACGCATCAGCAGGTGATGTTACAACCATCCTGCCAGATTCGAGGATGCACCACGTGCCGGGCACACAGTGCTTGATTTATGTGAACACACATTAATCCTCTTCACAACCCCATGGAGGAAGTGCTATGGTCACTCCCACTTTATAGATGGTGAAATGGGCCAGGTGTGATGACACACACCTGTAATCCCAGCACTCTGGAAGCTGAGGCAGGACAACTGCGAGTTTGAGGCCAGCCTGGGCTACATAGTGAATTCAAGGCCAGCCTGAACTACACAGTGAGATCCTGTCTCAAAAAAACAAAAAACAAAAAACAAGTGAAATGGAGGCACAGGGAGATGAAGGCATTTGACCTTGGTTACATAGCTAGGGCTGGCAGACCTGGGATGGACTCCAGGAAGCCTGGCTCCAGAGGCTGGGACTCAGGCCACTGTCCTGGTGCCTCTGGGACACAATAGGCTGCTATGTTTAGTGGGCCGGGCTGAACCTCATCATAGGATGCAGCCACCCAAGAAAGATAGTGTTGCAAGGACAGAAGGACAGGGCCGAGGATTTAGCTCAGTGGTTCCGGTGCCTGCCTTGAAAGCACAAGGACCCGAGTTCGATCTCCAGTACCAAAAAGAAAATATTAATTAATTAAATTAGAAAAAAAAAAAGAACAGAAGGACAATGAACAGCTCCATCCGAAGGCCACCCTGAGTTCCCAGGCATCTGAGCTCCCTGGTGGCACAGTGGTGCCTAAAGGGACGTCGAGGCTGGCTCCTTTAGGGTGAGCTTGAATCTCTTCAGTTGTGGCATTCTGGTGTTCACAGGGAAGCTGGGAGCTGCAGGGAAGCTGAGAATCCCTGCCTCTACACATTGCCAGTCATTTATCTTGCTGTCTTAGTCACTTTCCTCAGCACTGGGTCAAAATATATGACACCTGTAACTTAAAGGAGGAAAGGTTTATGCTGGCTCATGTTTTTAGGCCACAGTCGGCCGGGTCCAAGGCGTGGTAGGAGGACCTGGTGGAGGGGAGCTGCTCACCACGTGGTAGCCAGGGAGGGAGATCTACCCTTCCAGATCACCCCCTGGGGACCGCCTCCACTCACGCCAGGCCCCATTTCCTAACAACTGTAGTGCCAGTCCTCCTTTAAATGCCCATTTAGAAGTGCATGAGGCTCTTGGTGGGGATCAGGATACGAACTGAACATTCGCCTTCATTACTTTAGGCCCATCTTTCTTGGCACTACTGAGCACCCTCTCCTTCATCCCCAATCCAGGGGTAAAAAGGGGAAAGAGCCCATGGTTGCAGAGGGCAGAAAGCCTGCTCCTTTGGGCTGAGCCCAGGATTCAGCGTGTGTCCTGGACCACAGCTTGGTATGGAATGGAACAGGACTCAGTATGTGCCTGGGACTGGAGCTCAGTGTGTGGCTGGGACCAGGGCTCAGGATCAGTCTGCTGTGAAGGCTGGGGTTTGGTTCAGAGTCTGAGCCATAACCTCCTTCTTTCCTTTTCTATTTGACAGGACCCATGGCCTGGCTCCTGGACACTGTTGGACAAACCAGGTCTGAATTGTTGGCTTGGAGGCAGTCCCATCCTGGCCTCTTACCTATAGCCATGCCTTATAACCAGAAGAACTCCATCTCTGGTATACAGTCACCCCAGGCTTCCTTTTTCGGGCGGGGGGGGGTACCAGGGATCAAACTCGGGACCTTGCACTTTCGAGGCAGGCTCTGGCACCACTGAGCTAAAGCCCCGGCCCTACCCCAGGCTTCTTGTAGCCTCCTTTCACCTCTACCCTGAGGGATAGGGCCACTAGTTGGCTGGAGCCATTTGAACAAGTCCCCTACCTTCCCCCAGCCCCTTTCCCCTAATGTCCCTGCAGGCTCCTCAACCCAACTCTGCAAAGTGGACACTCCCTGGAAGCCTGCTTCTCCCTGATGTTACCCAAAGGCATGTGGTGGCCCAACGTGACAACAGGCATTGGATTGGAAACCTAGGAAACAGCCCCCAAAGCTGCCCACCCCAAGGATGGTCCCCTCCTCCCACCCTCAGAATGTCTTCTTGCTTAGATGCAGACAGCCCCTCCCTGGTCCGTTTCCACCTTGCCTCCCCCTACATACTCCAGACCACAGCTAGAGTGGCCTAAGTGTGACTCTGGCCATGGCCCTCCCTGGAAGCTCCTACCTATGGGTCAGGTGAGAGAACTGAGTTCAACAGCCACTTGGCTACAACTGCAGACAACCTGAGAAGGGTGGCCTTGCCAGGGAGGTGTTCAGGGAGAGAAGAGCAGAGGCCTGACCCTGAGCCCTGGAGAACAGGAGGGGGACAGCTGTGCAGAACAATGCGGTAGAAGGAGGGAAACAGGCATCACTGTGCCACAGAAGAAAAGGAGGTATCACGCAGGCGGCTGGTGACCTCTGTGAAACTTGCTTTAGGGGGAGATGTAAGTATGGGGAACAGAGAACTGGGTATGCATTGGCCGTGGCCGAAGGGAGCTGAGGTCCAGGGAAGGCTTTGTTTAGAATAACGGGGCAGACCCAGCCTATTCATTGTCCCCACCTGTCTGAGTGCCTGGCCCTGCCCACTTGCCTGGCCCCACCCACTCTCCTAGTCCCACCCACTTTCTTAGCCCCACCCACATGTATGACCCCACCCACTCTCCTGGCCCCACCTACTTGCCTGGCTACACCAACTTGTCCTTGAAGACGCAGTGCTGGCAGATGTGGGAAGAGTGACTAAGGTAGATGGTCAAGTTCAGAGGGGAGAGGTCAACTGAGCTCAGTGTCACCTGGGTCACCTCAGTGACCCAAGGCAGGATGCTGGTGCCTGCCCCTGTCCCCTCTGGACCTGGTCTATACTGGGGCTGGAAGTTCGTACTCCACCAGCCCTAAGGAGAGGAGGGGCAGGAACTTGGACAGGGGCTCCTGAGTCTGAGTGAAGAGCTGAGCAGGGACAGTGAAGAGCTGTTTATTCAGTCAGGGAGCTGCAGATCCAGACCTGGGAATCCGTGACAGCTCCAGGTCCCAGACCTGCCCCACCTCAGCAAGGGATGCTGAGCCCTTCCCTGTCATCTCTAGGCTGCCAGTTATGACTGGAGAGGCTGGGTGAGCTGTCCCCAAGGCCCTCCTGCCATCTTCCTAGAGGTGAGAGGCAGGGGAGCCCGGGCCAGGGCAGGATGGAGCTGTGTGGCAGCCCTCTCCCTGGTGGAGGACGTGGCTGTGAAATGTAAGTAAAACCCAAGGCTAATTTCCTCAGTCAGAAGGAGGAGGCATTGCAGTGTTTTCAAACCCTAATTAAAGCGGCTCGGGCGGTGTAACACCAAAATCAGTTCCAAGATCAATATTGCTATTCATTTAGAAGTGTAACGAGGTTAGAGAGGTGAGCAAAGGAAATAATTAACTCATTTGCAGCCTTTTATAACAGAAACAGTCATTTTAATCTCCAGGGTAATTAGCTATGCTCCGTCCATCAATCATGTCCAAGGCCAGTATTTCAAGTATTTGATTAATCAAGGGGGAGGGGCTAAGGTCCCTGCCCTGCTCCCCACACTGGCCCACAGATCTGCAGTGACCCCTGGGCAGGCACAAGAACACTTCTCAGAGGTCCAGGTCAGCATTGCCAGTGGCTGGAAGGGAGGGGCCCAGGACACAGCAGTATCCCCAGGTGAGCAGGTCCCCAGGACAGTCCCATCCCAGCTTAGGAGTTCTGGGGACAGGAACCCCAGATTCTGCGTCTGACTTGCAGGTCCCTGCCACCTTCTCCGAAGGTCCTGGGCTATGTCAGATGCCGGCAGAATCAGCCAGGTCTCCAGTTCTAAGTGCCCAGGGGCCTCCAGCCACTGGAGGGCAGCAGAGCCCCAAGGACCCCTGAGCCCAGGGCTGGGCATCCAGAGGGTGGTGGCCATGCAGAGCTGTTCCTTTGGCTCAGGCCGCACTGGACAGGAAGTCCACCTTGGCACCATCCTGGAGGCCGCATGCAGCCTGAGATGGGTGGCAGTATTGTCATCCCCACTCAGCAGACGGAGACTCAGGCCTCTGTGAGGGTCAGAACCGCCTGGACCCCACAGCCCATACTGGCCCTCATCCAGGAGGGAAGACAGAGATGACCCCTGCTATCCTTGCCCTGGTCCAACAGCTGGACTTAGTCATTGGCACCAGCCGAGAGGGTCCTCAGAGGCACTAGTCTTTTCCTTCATGTTCCAGGTAGGGAAACTGAGGCCCAGAGGAGGCAGGTGGTGCTCTACTGTTCTTATTCAGTGTATGAAAGAATACTGAACCCAGGGGGAGTTGACCTGCAGGCACTGGTCATGGGGCTGTCACTGCCTTTGAGCCTGCTGTGTCCATCTGAAGCTCTGTGGGTGGGTGACGTCACCGTGGCTGGGCATCTTCCTTGGTACTGTCCCCTTCTCCGGAGCCTCAGGGCAGGCAGTGGTGGCAGAGAGGGGATGATGCCAAAGGTTTAGGCACTCAGGGGACAGGGAAAGGGAGATAATGATGGAGGGATAGGACAGGTGGCCATCAGCTGAGCCCTCTGGCCCTCCTTTCTGAGGCTGCCAGGGATGGGGCTGCAGTCCTCTCTGTTCTGTGCAGGACCAGCACAGCCCATCATCACTGCAGAGGCCTCTCCTTGCTTGCATCCAGCTCTGAGAGGCTCACCCCTTCACACAGCTCTTCTGAGGCCCCCTTCTTCTCCAGCTGCCAGCTGCGAGCTGGGGGCACCCTGAGAACCCTGCCTGGGGGTCTTCCCAGGACATCACTGGCCTGTGTGACCTTGGTACTAGGTCGGCTGGGCAGGCAGAGCACACTCTCATCAGCCAACCAGTAACCAGGGAAGGCCAGGGAGCTCGGCTGGTTCCCAGCTGGCATGGAGCGTGAGGGACCTTCTGTCCTGGGCACTGTCTCCACAGGTTGGGGGAGGGAAGGAAGGAAAGAAGGAACAAGGAAGCAGAAGGAAGAGGAGGAGGAAAAAGGGAGGGAGAAGGGAGGAGGGCTGGGATTGGCCTGGAGCTTGGTTGCTAGGGGCAACAGCATTGCATTTGGAAGAAGGACCAGATGCTGAGGATGGTGCAGGAGGAGGGAAGCTGGGGTCCAGGCAGCAGATCAGGGCTCTGAGGCCTTGTGTGAGGACCCCCTACAGTCAGGACCGCAGTATCCTTAAGTGCAAGCCATCTCCCAGCAGCTCCTGGATGCTGGAGACCCAGGATGGCCCAGGCATTTCCAGTGTGTGTCAGGAAGGACTAGATCAGCCTCATTTGTAACCTCCCTGTGGCCACTCTTGGGTCACAATTTGTCTTGGACTTCAGAGGTCAAGCAGGTGCAGAGGCTGGGCCAGGCAGGGCTAGGGAGAAGCTTAATCTGTTCCTGGTGACCGAACCCAGGTCCTGGGCCCTGAGAAGCCCCAGTGAACCTTCCCTCCTCCTGCCTCTACCCAGGGGAAGAGTGAGTGGCTACAGAAAAACACAAACCGAAGACTCCAGTCCTCTGAGACCTGTTATCATCTCAGCTGCTTCCGACTTCATTTTCCCTGTCTATAAAATGAAGCAAATATAGTAACCTTGTCCTTGAATGTATTTATCAACAGTGAAGTCCACACACATGTGAGGGTCCCTTGTTTCAATAACAAGAAATAAAGAAGAAAAATGATAAAAAGAAGGGACATCCCATTCACCTTGCATTTACTACACACGAGGGAGGGCTCTGTACCCCATTTTCCAGGGCAGTAAATTGAGGCTTAGAGGAGCTGGTCAGTGGGAGCCACAGGAACAGTGTAAACTGTAAGACCTGAGCCTTCCCCACCCCTTGATGTTGCTTCCACTGAGTTCCTGGACCAGAACCAGTAAGCCTGAACCGGAATGTTCTCTGACATCCATGCCTGCTCCCCACATACCCCAGACTCCTGTACCATGAGCCCCTGCTCAACCCACTCAACCACATCAGCTTGACCAGCCAGCCAGGTGGCATCCAAGTCCCTGTCCTGCATCCAGCTAAGTCCCAGCCCCTGCCGCACACCTACCATCTAGCCTGTTTGCTTCCTGCCTGTTCTACATTTCAGCTTAGGGCTCCAAGGTCAGTGTCTGGGAGGGGTGGAAACCTCATGATCTGAGTTCTCAAGTCCCATGGCATCACCTCCAAACTTCCTATCAGGTTCCCAGAGGGACACCGCCCTCCACCCAGGAGCAGATGGCCAGGTCACACTGCAGAAGAGCCAGGGCCCTTTTTGGAGAGTCGGGAGCCCTGCCTGGATTGACAGTGTCCGCTCACCACACCCCAGGGGCCAGAACCAGAGCCACAGCATGCTGGCTCCTAAGGGATGTTTAGTCTTCCTCAGTCTCCTGGTCTTCCGGCTTCTGGCTCCTTTTTCTCTTAGCCACTGACCCAGGCCTGTGTCACTGAGCCTTTTCTTTTTTGGTGCTGGAAATCAAACTCAATGCCTTGTACTTGTCAGGCAGTTGCTGCACTGCTAAACTACATCCCTAGCCCCCGGGGCTTTTCTTGAGGCCTCAGCTACATCTGTGTGCTGACAGCCACCCCATCAGTGGCTCTAGCTTCTACTTCCCCAGGACCAGGGCCTCTGCCCCCTGCCTGTCTCCCTGACACTCAGCAACCTAAACATGGCCCTGTCCTCTGCACAAGGGCAGCCCCAGCGCCCAGCACACCAGCTGAGGCTCCTCCCTCTGTGCCCGGGTGACTCAGACCAGTTCCTCCTGGCATAACCCCTGGCCAGGCCCCCTGAGTCTCACTGTCCCTGTGGCTGGAGCCGCTCCCTGTGGCACTGCCCTAGCCTCTCCCACATGGAGGCCTGGCCCAGCTTCTCCCTCTGGATCCTCTCCAGGGCTCCTCGCCATCAGCCAAGCCCGGCTCCTTGCCAGCTCGTGCGTGTGGAGGCTTGGCAACTGTCTGTGTTCTTCCCCCCAGTCTAGTGCATCTGTCACCGTCCCCTCCTTGCACCTGTGCTGCCCTGGGCAGCCTCAAGCAGGCCTGCTCCTGGCCCTCAGGGTCCCCTCACCCTCATGGCGCTGTCCACTTCAATTTCCTGTGACTGTGGAAACGTTCCATCTGGCGCTATCCAACATGGTGGCCACTGGCTGCTGGAAATGTAGCCAGTGTGTCTGAGGAACTGAATTTTAAATTTGTTTTTAATGAATGTAAATGGCAAACGTGCTGTGGGTGCTGAGTGGGTAATGCAGCTCCAGGAAGCCCTCCTGGACCTCCAGGCCTGAGCCAGGTGCCCCCCTTTTTGCTCCCTGTGCTCTATTCTTTTCCCTGTATCCCCCATGGCTGGTGACCCTTAGAGGCCCCCTCCTGTTAGTCGTGGTCTCCTCAGTTCCAGGCTCGGCAGCCGTGCAGTCAGTGAACTTTCTGCTCCCAGAGCCATGCATGGACTGGATCTTCTTGTAAAGACCCAATCCAGAAAGACTGCTGACAATCGAAGTGTGTGCATGTGTGTGTCCACGTGCTGGGACTGTGCAGCTCTGTGTGCCTGGGCACAGTTGTCTCTCGCAGGCACTGGGCTGGACAGGAAGTCCTTGTGAATCGGCTTCTGTGTGGCTCAAATACTATTCATTCTGCTTCTGAGATGCTTCATCTGCATTGCAGACAAGCCTGGGGTGCAGAAAAAAAGGGTTCTGGCTTTGCTTCCAGGCTTCTGTGCAGCCACCTGTGCATGACCGGCTATGTGTGCTGGGCGGGCTCCAGCTTGCGGCCATCTGAAGGGCCCCTCAGCTCCGAGCCCAAGACTGGCATCTCAGTGTTTGGAACTCCTGCTGGGGTCTAAAGAGGGTCTCAGGCTTGTGCTTCCACCATTCTCCACTCCTTTTTCCTATGGCTCTGACTCCATCCCTGTTGGGCCGTGGCTGAGTCCCATCCACCTCCAGGGTGGGTTCTTCTTCCCAGCCACACCATGACCTCATTCGGAGATGGAGAGGAAGTAGGCTGGCACCTGCCTTGGCATCCCAGCCACAGGGAGCAAGCTGATTTCTATCTTTCTTCCTCCCTCCTTCAGAGGAAAAGCCTGGAGTTCTGGTGCTAGATGAGTCCTCTGAATTCTGATCTGGTTCCCACTAAACAGGCAGAAGACTGGTGGTGATTTAAGAAGTGATGTGGGTGCCAGTCCCCTGTAGTCAGGCAGCAAGCCGTGCCCCAACAGGGGGCAGTCATCACACTGTCAGGCAGCTAGCGCCTTAGCCACTGCCACTGTTCATGTCTCTTAAGATGGCATTCAAGGGCCGGGGATTTAGCTCAGTGGCGCTGCACCTACTTGGCAAGCACAAGGTCCTGAGTTCAATCCCCAGTACGAAAAAAAGAGATGACATTGAAAGGGTATGTGCGTCATGATCTCCTAGCCCTCAATGGGGATCCCCCTCCAGGGCTAGCACCCAGAGGTAGAAACAGGGCATCAGGCAGGGACTCAGGCCGAGCCTCCAGAAAACTGAGGAGCAGGGGTGTGGGCAGAGCCCTGGGCAGCAGCCAGAGCAGTCCTGCTCCTCCTGGGCCAGAATGGCCCTCCACACTGGGCCTGTATTGCTTTTGGCCCTATGGGGTGCCGGGCTGGAGTGTTCTACACACTACCACCACCACCACGACAGGACAGGCATTGGTCCTTTGCTCCCTACAGCTCCGCCATGGCTGTGTCTCCACACCAGCCCTCCCTTGCTGGCCCTGCCTTCCTAGTTCTCCCCTAGACACCAGGAACTGCAGCTGTGAATGCAGTCACAGCTCAAGACCCTGGAGTAGGAGGATCCAGGGTCTTCATTTTATCATGAGAATGTTGAGGAGGCAACTTCTGGCCCCATAACATGTCAGGAAGTGGGTACTCAGCATCCAGGCTGCACATGTGTGCATACACACACACACATGCACACACACACACACACACTGCCCCCGAGCAAAGGCTCCACATCACAGCTTAGGAAATGTAGCAGATCCGTCCCCCTCTAGATGGTATCCCAAAGTGGTTGGATTTAAAGGCTCTGGGGAGACCTGCATGAAGGACCCTGTGTAACTTGCTATTTCTCTGGCTCATGTGATCATGCTCTTTTTCAGGATAATCTTTGAATTTTTTTTTTTTTTTTTTTTAGGAAATCTATGGTTCTCTTTTTTAAAAAATTCTTAAATTCTTTTATTGGTACATTTTAGGTATACAATACATTTACATTTATCATTGGGTGCTTGTACCTGTACATGATGAATCTTGGTTCTTATTTTTTCCCCATTACCTGTGCGCCCTTCACCCCCTCCACCCTTCCCTATTTACATAGACTTTGTTTCCATTTTTTTATTTTCTCATAATTTTTCCTTTCCCTTGTTTCCTTTCCCCTTCCCCTCCCTTCACCCCTACCTCTTTGGACCTTTTTTCCTATTTCAAATTATCAATTATTCCTTTTAGTCATTTTAACCCCTATTTACACTTTCAGTTTCTCACAGTAGAGAAACTATTCGGTATTTACACATGTGTGTCCTGGTCATTCGAGAGATGCAGATGAAAACAACACTGAGATTCCACCTTACCCCACGAATGGCTGCTATCAAGAAATCAACCAATAACAAATGCTGGCGGGGGTGTGGGGAGAAAGGAACCCTTCTCCATTGTTGGTGGGAGTGCAGACTGGTGCAACCACTGTGGAAATCCATATGGAGATACCTCAAAGAACTAGGGCTAGAGGTCCCATTTGACCCAGCTATTCCCCTGCTGGGTATCTTCCCCAAAGAATTAAAAGAATCATACCACAGTGATATATGTGCACCCATGTTTATAGTGGCACAGTTTGTAATAGCTAAAGCTTGGAAACAGCCCAAGTGCCTGTCAACTGGAAACTGGATAAAAAAGATGTGGGTTTTTTTAATAAAATGGAGTAGTAGTCAGCCATAAAGAATGAGAAACTAGAGTCATTTATAGCTAAATGGATGCATATTGAGGCTATCCTCTTAAGTGAAATAAATAGGACACACATGTCTTTGAATCTTTTATAAATTACTTTTGCTTGCTGTAACAAAGATCCAGCCACAGTATCCTGAACAAATGTGTTGTGTCTTTCAGTCTCCCATATCTGGAAGGCAGGAATCAATCCATGGGATGGTGGCCCCACCATGTCATGATATCTCAAACTCCTCTTTAGGCAGCGTGATCTTTGCACAGCGGTCTGTCTTCATTATCACCTCATGGTCCAAAATGGCTGCTGGGCTCCAGCCCAGCTGCATTCCAGGCAAGAAACAAAGAGGGGTACATGGAAAACCCCCGTGCTTTGTGTGTCTCTATTGAAGAACTTCCGCAGGAATTCTGTCCAACAGTTCTCTTATATATGGCTCCTTGGCAGGAGAAGCTGGGAAATATAGTCTTTCAGGTGGACATGTTGCCCCCAGATTAGAGTAAGTATTCTGCTACCACAGAAAAGGGGATGTGTGGACTGGGTAGACAAGGGCCATCTCAGCCATGGCTTCTTTGTGTTACGGTGTCCTAGGAGCTGGTTGGAGTCAGGGAGAGCTGGACCCAAGCCTGCTGACAGGCTGTTTGTCCTTGGATGCACTTCTATCCTATCTGAGCCGGAACACTTGTCTTCAGACTTGTGACTGTCTCAAAGACCAAATGAG